TTAAAGAGATATTTTTATTTAAGTATAATTTCTAAAAAAAATAATAATAAATATATTTTTTACTTATATTTTGATAAGAAATTATTTAAAAATTATGAAAATTTGTAAATATATTCTTTAAAATATTATTATAATAAATTATAATAAGTTATAGTAAGTTATGGTAAGTTATAGTAAGTTATAATAAGTTATAATAAGTTATAATAAGTTGTGACAAGTTACAACAAGTTATGATAAGTTATGACTTGTGATAAATTGCAGCAAGTTGCAATTTTTATTAAATTTTTTAATAAATTACAATATATAGTTGTAATATAAATATTACAACATAGTAATTATGACTACTATCTTTAATTATAATCATTATATTTGCAAAATCTTTTAAAAATATCTATAAATAATATTCTCTATAGCTAATATTCAATAAGATATAAGTAATTATTCATTCAATCATATTGTAATATAAAGTAATTAATAATATATAACTAATTAATATTCTACTAAAAGTTTATATTAAAAAATAAAATAAGTATATAATAGAGAAATAAAATAAAAAATATATAATATTAGAAATAACAAGTACAAATAGAATTGATTTCTTATGTATTTATTATTATAATACTTATAGCTTGCATTTGATACAAAAATATTAAGTATATATATTAAAAAAATAAAATAATAAGTATATGATATTAAAAATGATGAATTATTATAATATTTATAACTTATATTTGATATCAAAAACATATTCTTAATAATTTAATTCTTCTTCTTTCTCTTCTTTCTTAAAAAAAGTAATACTATCTTGCAATAAATAATATTTATTAATATGTTTACAAACAAAATTTTTTTCTTTTGAATATGACATGACTTGCCAATCCGGATCAAATCAACCCAGATCATATCTGAATTGACTCGATCCGAATTGCACTACTCGACTTTAGTGTTTTCCCGTTTAAAGATAGCTATGATTGACGATCAATCTATGATTAAATCATGATCACGAACTTGCATTTTACGGGACTATGCTAGTGTGCATTATTGCATAATAAATCGGGACATCAAACCAAAAATAAGAAACTTACTGATTTTTATTTTCTAAATGCCTATTTTCGAGGTTCATATTTTCAGTCATATACGGTATTTTGTTTTCCATAAATGCACACACTTTGCATTTTTTTTTACTATGGTCCCAAGTAGGCGGGTGCGACTGTACTAAAATTTCACTTCACATCAAAATCGGGGTCCGGATCATTATATCCAAAATATTGTTTCACTTTTCCAGTTAGTTATCTAATGATTTGATTTATTTTCGTAATGTTTATTGAAAAGAATTTTTTAGGTTAAAATTGGTCCATTAATATCGATATCTCATAAGAAAAAGCTCTACGCTATACTTGGAAAAGGATAAATCTCCATCTCCTTAATCTATGTTCTTTTGGATTGCTGAGTGCATTATGATGTCACTATAAGAATCAAGGCGCAAGTTAAAATTTAGAATGTTTTGATTTTTATTAAAACTTTTGTGATCGATTAGAGGACAGGAGAAAAGTACCTGAATAAGATGATGGTATAAGTTATCCCGATTTTATTATAGAGAACAAAGTTGATCTAATTTTTTTTATGAAAAATACTATTAATTATAGTGGGGTCAATGCTAATAAACCTACAGGTGCTTACACTGCTGTTTATGTGATCAAACTTATTCGGGATTCTTATTTGATAATAACTTTTATCTTAATAACTTGATTCAGCAGCAATCAAACAAACAAACAAACAAACAAGAAGCATACTTAATTTAAAACCATTAGAAAATCCTGGTAAGCGATATATAAAAGATAAGATCATCCTCGTGAGCTTGGTTAATAATAATCTCAACTCATGACTAGGTGGGAGAAGTGTCTGTCAGTGATTTATTCTTATCAATTGCATATTTGCTTGACAAAAATGTTAACTTACCTAAAACCGAAATTCCTCAAATTTCATGAAAAATTTTTGACATTCGTCATTATAGAAGTTTTCTTATATTTTAAATGTTTTATATTAAAATAATTGTCTCGCAAAAAATAATGTAGTTTATTAATCAATAAGTCAATAACTATATATATATATATATGAAAATTTTCATTTTTTGATCATTATCAATAAATATTCGACAATCTATTAAAGTGAGAAATAAAAGTAATAAAAGTCTAAAACATAATCCAAAAGTCTGTATAAAATAAATTTTCAATTTAATCAAATTAAAAAATTAACACTAGCAATCTTTCAAAAATCACGAGTGATATTATTGTTCTATGCTTGTCCAAAGTAGTGATTAATATGTCTGATAATAATTAAATGATAAATATATAAGAGAAAATTAAATGCATCGAAAAATTATAATACAATTCGTCTAAAATTTCGCCTAATAGGATGATAAAAAGTCGATTATAAATTTTTTAAAAATATTTAGATATAACAAAAACAGATGATTCTCATTTGCTCTCTACAAAAGCACACATATGTATGTAAAGTGACCTTAACATATAACACAATCCTCCTTTTTCGTTTGTGCTCGAGTATACCTTTCTGGCTTGACACGTCGCATATTGCCGAGCTTTTTTAATTCAGTAAGACGATGTTGAGCTCTCTTATTACCTTGCGCTGAATAGAATCAATGAGACAAATATAGTTGAGATTATTAATCAAAAGATTTCAAATTAATTATAATAAGAGAAAGGAATTTTACCTGCAGCACGTAAATACCAGCGCTTCGCTTCCTCAACATCCTGATTTACACCAATTCCCACTTCTGAATAATATCCTATTGCATATTCTGCTTTAGAAAGTCCTTTATCTGCAGCTCTACGTGCCCATAAATAGGCTTCGGCGTCGGATTGTTTTAAGACAGGATCACTACCAGTCAAATACCATCCTGACAATGCCAATTCCGCATCTGGATCCCCTTTTTCCGCCGCTTTTGAATAATAATAAATAGATTTCTGCGGATTTGCTGCAACACCCAATTGACCATATTCGTAAACACAGCCAAGCTTAAAACAAGAAGGGGCATAGCCTAAATCGGCAGCTTTATGGAATTGCTCCAAAGCAAAGCGTTCATCATGAATTATGGAAGGAATTTCTTTCTGAATATCTTTCTTTTCGTGTAATAATCCTAAGTCGTGAAGTGCGTGAGGATTCTCTGCATCGGCTTTTTGTGCGGCACGTTTCAACCAAGTTACAGCCTCGCGCGGATTTTTTGTTTGCGATAATGATCCACTCAATAAAATTTTACCTAATTTAAACATGGCAGCTGTATCGCCTAACGCGGCAGCTTTTCGATAAAATTGAGTAGCACGATGTGGATCCCGTTTTGTACCAGCACCAAGTTCATAACAGACAGCAGTTCGATAAGTTGCAGATGAATGATTTTGTTTAGATGCCTGCATATAAAGACTAAATGCTTTATCTTGATCAAAAGGCAAGCCCAAAGATCCGTGTCCATATGCATTGGCCAAATAAAATTGTGCTTCAGGATATGCGGGTTTTCCGAATCCGATTCCCTGAGTTGCTAAGCGTTTTATTATTTTAACGGCCTCTTGTAATAAACTATCTTTTGCTTTGTTTTTAGTTTTTTGGTTCGAAACATCTTCTCCTTGTTCTGCTGCTGCGTCAATCAAAAATTTGGCAAATTCTAATAAAGATGCTGGATCACCAGCACTTTTTGCTTTATTACGATATGCTTCGATAGCGTCCGGTGTATAAGAAGGTCTATTATTAGTAGCATCAACACTTCTTACAGAACTCGAATTATCAACATCATATTGACGATTTGGTAACGGTCCCTTCATTGAGTATTGACGTTCTAATGCTGGTTTTCCGTAAGGATCTTGAGAGTATTCTTGTGAATGCGAATAAGGATATCCTTGCTGTGGATAATCCTGTGAATATGTGCTACGTCCATCATAAAATTGACCTGATTGCTCAGGCGGATAATAATTTGAATGCATTGAAGCACCATCGGCATTACTTCCATAATATGAACTATCGTCTGTTGGATAATTTTGTTGATATCCATTATAGCCATAGTCTCCTTGGGGCGGAGGATAATCTCCTTGAGGCGGAGGATAATCCCCTTGAGGCGGGGGATAATCTCCTTGCGGCGGAGGATAATCCCCTTGGGGCGGAGGATAATCCCCTTGAGGTGGAGGATAATCTCCTTGGGACGGAGGATAATCTTCTTGGGGTGGATAATCTCCTTGAGGTGGAGGAAATTCCCCTTGGGATGGAGGATAATCTCCTTGAGGATGTTGATGTTGATATAAATCATTTTGGGAAGAATAATCATCTTGAGGTGGATGATTATGTTGTTGAGGTGAATGTTGTTGTGATGATGGATGTTGTCCTTCTTGATGAGAACGTGGCGGAGGAGGATAATTAGGGTTTGGGTGAGCAGGTGGAGGATAAGATTGATTAGAAGGCTGTTGTTGAGAGGAATAATCATAACTATCTTCAGTATATGCGTCTGCATTTCTTTGAGAATTATAGTTGCGATTATCATATTGTTCGTTATTATAATATGGCTGTTGATAATTGTGTTGCTGTGGTTGTGATGGGGGTAAAGATTCCCCTCCTTCTCTTGATTCTGGTGGATATGGCAAAGTATTATTTTGTCGATAAGCCGGCTGTGGACTACTTCGTGCATCTGGATAATTCGATCCGCTATCTTTTCGAGAGGGTGCGAGTCCTTCTCTGGGGTCAACAGCAGGATAAGGTGATGAATTATTTTGTCTTCTCGAGATTGATGGTTGATGATGAAAATCGCCTTGAGGTCTCGTCATATCGGGACGTGGTGAAACACTATTAGATCTTTGCACATCGCGAGCGTCTAATTGAGATCCTGCTGAAACACTTCTTGCATCGGGGCGGGGAGAAATAGTAAGTTTCCGATCTAACTCTCTAGGATCTAACTCTAACTGATGACTATTATATCCTCCTTGTCTACTACTATCTGTTGCTAATGATGAGTAGGAACCTTGTCTATGAATGGTGTGCGGGTTATATTGTTGTGGTGGTGGTCCCTGTCGGAAATCGTCTCGTATAAGATCTATTTGAGGCGGAGTAGGTCCTTGACCATATTCCGCGGGTTGTTGTAAGGTGTTTTTTCTTTGAAGACTTTGATAATCTTGCTGTTGCTGTTGATAGGGAACCTGATATGTCCCTCTCGGATCATATCGCTGTTGATATTGGTTTTGCATGTAAAATAGTAAGAATAATAATTGTAATTTGGTGTATGTAGAGAAAATGAAATGAAACGTTTTTTGTATTATATCGAATATGTAGATGAACTTCCACGAAACTGGAACCACACAAATTCTACGTAGTACAACGCATATTATCAATGCGGGATGTGCCAAAATTGCAAAATTACAAAATTAGGAAAAATATAAAAATATATACATATGCTATTTTGAACCAGTCATTTTTTATCTGTTGATAATCTTTGTATAATTAATCAAGGCGGCAGAGTTTGCATATCGATAATATGTGACTGTATTCTATTATATTCACGTGATTTCATAGAATTAGTCGCTGAATTAGATAATAGATGCATTCTGTCTAAACACATCCAAATGACTGCTGCACCGCTTTTAAAGAACGAAACAGCACGTTTAAATGCTTTTTTGTCAGACTGCCTGTCTGTTGGCTGCTTAAAGGTGAGAGGAAAGAACTCGATATAAGCTGTATTTTCAAGCTTTCTAACAATTCGTATATTATTATAGGGTTTTAAGCATTTTGAAGTTTATTTACGAGGACGAGAAGAATTATTATTAAGAGTCTATAATGTTGGTAAACCAAGCTCAGAACTGGAGACCAGTCGGCGAAGTTATAATTCTTTATCTCTAGCAAAATCACAGTAAACATTTTACTTCCATTAAAATGATTGAAATTCTGCTAAAAATGATCAAGTTTGTTGATTTAATTCTTTTTTTTTAGAAGCAATGCACTTTTCTCGCCCAAAACTTTTCGAAAGTGAGTTCCATTGTCAATATATGCAATTGAGAATTTTTCGATCAAACAAACGCTAATTTTCTTTGTTTTGTTGATATTTAGGCTGAGCAATGGGTCAGTAGAGACAGGTTTATTACCGCCAAATAGCCCATTAGATAAAGAATTAGCGCGAGTAAGATGATTAATTTTATTAATTAAATCTACTTGCAACTTTTTATTTGCTAAATTAATTAAAATGATGATCAACTTTTGCAGGATGAATCCAAGACAGTATTTTTAATAGCGGGATATGCTCGTTATAAATGCCCTTATGTTTGGGTATGTAAACTTTTACTAGTAACACAAAACTCAGTAATTATTAACACAAAGCTCAGTATTAGGATACATAATACTGCACGGTCAACATTGTTTTTCTATTTATCAGTTACGCTCAAATCATAAACGTCTAATTCAACTACAAGACAATGCGAAAATCGAAACAGATAATCCGTTGAAACTGGAGACAATAGCTGCATGGAAAACTCGAGGTATTCGTCAGAGTGACCCTTTAATTTTCTCGTGAATTCGAAACATTAAAAGAAGATCGACTAAATGTGTTATTCATTAACTGAATCTCAGACATAATGCTCTGGGACATTATAGCAGAAATTGTAACACTCTCACTTACCCCATCTCCTGATAATCCTTTCGAGATAGATCACTCGTATTATGACACGTTACCGTTAGAAGAGTGTGCTGTGAGTACAGGGGCGATGGCAGATTTTCTTCAAAAGGTTTACCTTAAAGATACATCTTATGCTGACAAAGGTATGCATGTCATTTTCCATAATGAATATTTATGCATACATGCGTATTAAATAACATAATTCTGCTGTTAATTTCTTCATTGCCAATTCATATTTTCGAAATAATCATGTTAGTTTTTGAAGACCTCAAAATACTTTTTCAACGCCATTTTGAAGCGTTTGAAGAAATGAACGATGCGTTAAATAACAATGCTTTGGAAAGGTCGAATCCTTCGTCTTCCAACGTATCAACATTTACACACGCATAGAAGCAAAGAAATAATCAATATTCTGTTTATTCTGTTATCTTCATCCTCCTTTCCGTCACCGCTTTTTGATGTATTGCTAGACATAATCCATCCAGCGATCAATCGAAGGACCATAAATGCTAATAATTAAACAAGATATTCATTCGTCATTTAAAATTACATTAGTAATTATTTCTATGATTAACATAATGTTTAATACATTGTAAGTAAGCCCATTTTGGTAATAAGTTCTCTAACAATGATTATTAAAAATATCTTTTCAACATACGTCAACGGCAAGCAAGCAAACAAGCAATAAACATCCTTTTTCAGCATATTTTTTTACACGAAAAAATTTCACGAGATAAATTTTTTGAGAAATAAAAAATTCGAAATCTGTTCATGTTTTGTTCTGTTCTGTGTGTTCGTTCAAAGGTTCTGTCTGTCTGTCTGTCTGTCTGTCTGATAAATAAGATACAAGAAATATATATATATGATATATATATATATAAATATAGCAAAGATAGTATATAAAATGCTAAATATACTAAAAACCAAAAACCGAAAAAGGGATAAATATGTTAGATAACCAATATATTTGATAATATAAAATGATAATATAAATGAACATGAAAAATAAAATAACAAAAATAGAAAAAGTGTGGCGTCCGAAGTTCTGTTCTGTTCTGATTGTATATTATACGAAATTAATTATAAGTACTAATAATAAAATAAGAAATAATAAATATCGTGTGTGTCTGTCTGTCTGTCTGTCTGTTCTATGGTTTTGTTCTGTTCTGTTCTGTTCATTAAAAAAAGAGAGGTCTTCTGTTCTGTTCGATTCTGTTCTAAGAGAAAAAAAGGTTCTGTTCTGCTCGTGAAAAAATTTGTGAAAAAGGTTCTGTTCGAAAGTAATAAAAAAATCTGTTCTGTTCTGTTCTATCAAAGAAACATTAAAAAGGCACTAGTTCAGTTCTGTTCTGTTCTGTCGAAGGTTTTTGTTGCGTACACAAACGAAAAAAAATTCGGATGTATATAAAACAAAAGGGTATAAATAATATGGTTCTGTTCTGTTCTGCTCTGTTCTGTTCTGTGTTACGAATAAATATATAATAAAATAAAAAAAACGAAAAAAAACGAAAAAATAAAATAAAATGAAAGGTTCTGTTCTGTTCTGTTCTGTTGTAGGTTCTTTTCTGTTCTGTTCGATATAATTCGTGAAAATTGTTGTAATAAATACGGGTAAGTTCTGTTCTGTTCTGTTCGGAAAAAAAAGGTTCTGTTCTGTTCGATCTGTTCTGTTCTGTTCTGTTGTAGATATGGAAATATAATAAATAAATAAAAAAAAAAAGATGTAGTTTGTTCTGTTCGATCTGTTCTGTTCTGTTCTGTTGTAGTTAAGGGTAGTTCGTAAAAAAACGTAAATTGTTCTGTTCTGGTAACCAATGTTCGATCTGTCTGTTCTGTTCTGTTCGGTCCTATTCTGTTCTGTTCTGTGGTCGTTAATATTGCTTAGTTTGTTTGCTAATACTAGTTTGTAATCATAAGTTGAAGCCGTCAAATAAGCTGAGATAAAAAACGGTCTTTGGTTTCGAGGGACTCTATATGAACTGTGATAGAGTCTAACCAGATTCGTGTCAAAAATAACAGGTGTTGAGGGGGAAGGGGGTATTGGGTAAGACATGTAAAACTCAAAGAAATTGAATATATGGAAACTTGCATCTTTTGTCATTAGAGAGGAAAAAGACTTGTCAAAAACCTCGCTAGTTTTTGATTCGTCAGAACCACAACATTCAAAGGGGCACCGTGGCGACTCTATCCGTGAAAGAATCGTCGCAAGGACATAACCTCGCTCCGTGTGCCAGAAAAAAACTTCATCGGGCGTACAACCATTATGCTCCGTGTGCCAGACTTTATTGCTTCATCAAACCGGGAACTTGAAAGTCCAAGGTGATTTCGCAGCAGTGCCATTTTAAGCGTGTAATTTTCAGTATTCGTAATTACATTCGCGTTGTCAAAGAGCTGGAAGTAGAAAGGCATTGCAGCTAAGATCCCTATAATCCAGTAATTAGGCGTAGGTCTATTGGCAGTGACCAGCGGCGGTTCCGTATCCTTAGGTAATTTCCAATAGCAGTGACCAGCGTCAATAATCATGTACTTGTGGCGTTCATTTCGCGGCGAGTTGACACAAAGTGTGAATAGGATCGGGGGTGTTGTAAAGAATGAAAATATGTATGTGTGTGATATAAAAAGATGTTGTGGGCGCAGGGTGCTAGGTCGAGGTTATCGAAATTGCACACCTGCTAACGAAAACGAGTTTCTATTATAAAAAGCTGTTTATGTATATGTGTAGTTAACAGGAGAAGAGAGATTTGTTAAAATGGGAAGTAAAAAATCGAGAATGTTTAAAATCGGAGTTAACTACAACTATATGTATGTGGCACACATAATTTAAATGATAAACTTGCGAAATTTATATATAAAAAATCATTTGAAGCTTAAAATACCTCCTCGATGATGAATTTGAACCGAGAAAAATTATGTGAAGAAAAAGCATATAAAAGTGGATGGATGATTTATGTTGAGATGAGGAAGGTAATGTTGACATTGGTGATAATTGATGTGCCACACTTTTAATGCTTATTCTATGTGAGGGGTGAATTTGTGTTGTTAATTTATATTTATGAGGGTGAGGTCATGTGCTTGTTTCCATTTATTTCTTCAGTTTTACGAAAAATACGAGAACATTCGTGATTCTCGCGAACAGAATCCAAATGCTCAAGGCGAGATGTTGATGTTGATGTCGAGTATAATGAATAGTAGGAAAATGATGGTAGTGATGGTGATTGTGATGCCAGTGAACTTCTGCTGCATACGCAAGAAATTCGTGATCATTACTGACATCGGGACATGATGCTCATCTTTGCTTTTAGTCGAATTAGTATTGAGGGTATAGTAACGGAGAGCAATTGTAATGGCAAGATGAGGAAAGGATTAGTTAGATTTAGAAAGAGAGTAAAGAATGTAGTGAATTCGAGGCTGTGTGTGGTAAATGGTTTTGATGGAGGATATTTTGTAGCGAGTATGTGTGGAGTTGGTGAGACGGTATTTAGAGGATGTTGAAGGGAGAGCGAGCGATGGTGAGAAGGCGGTGTCATATTCAAGGCATCGAACCACCAAACGTTTGGTTCCTTTTGTTGTTATAGTAGTAGTTAGTTTGTTTGTTGTTGTTGTTGAAAGTTTCGTGAGAGAAGTGGCCAAGACGTGGAGAGTTCGTTTAGAAAACATCAATTTCTTGAAGTGTATTGTGTTTCCTTTAATCCCATGAGCCTTCTTTGAATAGCATGTCGAATATCTAGGTGTAGACGACGTTATCTCATATTAGATTACCTAGTAAGTAGTAGTGTGTGCGATAAACGGTTGTGCTTTTTCCGTGTCTTGCCCAACATCGTCAATTTAGGCGAAGAAGAAGAAGAAGACTACCACAAAGACAATGTTATTCTTCTTCTTCTTCTTCCCACCAACTAAAGAAGCAGCAGTGCTAAACTTTTCCATTGTGAATACACACCAAATCGCCCATAAGGTCATACCCATCCTCTGTTGGATGAATACCGTCGGAATCCCAGAAGATTTTACGTTGTTCTTCAGTAAGCGAGTTCATCGGGAGAAACTTGTCGAGAAGGAATAGTTGATACGCATTTCGAGTTGTACTATTATTATATACACTGTAATATAGTTATACATATTATATCATAATAATATGGTTATATTATTATATTATAATATTTATAAACGAATAGTAGATAATGGGAAGCTGTTAATAAAACGCTTGAAGAAAAGAAAAAAAAAAGCGAGGGAAGGCAAGGACGAGATGTATTTATAGAAAAAAAAAACCAAAAGGATTCATTCTACTTACTTTAAATGTTCATTAACTATTCGTCGTTGGTAATCCAAATGATTTACGGCGTCCTACAGGTTTATTTATTTGTGTTTATTTATGTTATTATTAGCATCATGTACAACAAACAAAAAAGTAAGGTGACGGATAAGTAAGATGTGTGAGGTGTGTGAAGGCGGTTGAACAAAATTCGGGCTGTGTGTAATAAAAAATTCTGTGTGTGAATTATCAGTGGTGTAACGCTTACCCAATCAAATTCGGGTATTGTAATTCCCAAAATGCGAGCTCCGTGTTTAGAACTAAGTGTGTACAGTTTCTTTAGTCCATCAAATATGTCCCATGCAGAATATCCTTGGAACACGTCGTTGGTTCCTATCAATATGTAATGTGACAATTGGTTGTTGTACTGATTAGTAAAATAATATGCAATATTTATTCTATGCATACACACATAAATTACCGCACGAAGGAGATGCATTTATAAATTACAAAGAATAACATAAGGGCATATATAAATAATGACAAAAGAGGAGAAAAGAATGGAAGGGTGATACAACTTATTTATTATTTAATATATACAATTAAATATGTATATGAAAAAAGTACTCAGAAGGAAAGAAATATATGTGTGTGTGTGTGTGTGTGCGTGCGTGTATGTGTGTGTGTGTGCGAGAATAGAGAAACATAGAAAAATAAATGAAATAAAAAAAGAATTATAATTACCTCCCAAGATGACTATCCAATCATACCATTTACCAGGTTGTTCTAGTTCACGTTTTAACCTTTCTTCCATGTGAACGCAACATTCACCTGGAACACCACTCACGGTAACTTCAACGTCTAATCCTTTGTCGTCAAAATGTTTTTGAAGTCTTAGACCATAAGGATGATAAGTTCCGTAACCACCTTCACACCAGCCTGCACATTTTTAATATGAAATGAAAATGAAAGGAATATTAGTTTACGGACTATTACCATAAAAGTATTCATTTATCTGTCTCATGACAATGCTGAGATATGTCAGATAACAGCAGAGATAAACTGATGGGGTTACCGTTAACGGATTTATCATTGGAACTTTTTCCCCATATACTACCACTGCTACTTCTACTACTGCCATCACCATTACCACTACCACCACCACCACCACCGCTCTACTACTTATGCCCTTGATTTACTGCGGTATCCACGTGGTCCCATCGTTGAAATTATGGAATAGTGGTAGTAGTGGTGGTGGTGGTGGTGGTGGTGGTGATGATGATATAATGATATAGTGAAGAAGCTCTTATTTTTCTCTTACGAACCTGCAGTTAAACTATCACCAAATAGCAAAATATTATACCTCCTTCGAGGAGCGTTCGCGGCATTTACCACGCTCCGTTTTCGTCGTAATACTGACTTCAAGACAACTGGATGCTGCTGAAGTGTCGTGAGTCGTGTGTTTTCTTCTTGCTCGAAACTGCTCAGTAATGGTTGTTTCTCAGAGACCCTAAACGATGGACTAACACTACTATTATATTCCGAAGAATCTTCATCGACGAAGGTAGCATCGTCATCATCGTCGTCGTCCAAGTACTTGTTGCTAACACAGCACAAGCTGTTCTTTATTCTACGAAGTATACCCATTAGGTGCTCTTTCGGTCAGGTATGTGTTGTGTATGAAGGTATTGGTTGTGTGCGTGTATAATGTGTTGTCCCTTTTTTTTGATACTATTGTGTGTGCAAGTAGATGTGTTGTGTATGTGTAAGGGAAGAAAGAGAAGAAAAGAATACGTCTTTTTTTTACCGGTTAAAGTAAAAAAAGTCGGATATTCTTTTTTTCTCTTTTTTTTATTAAAGAGACAAGAAACGAACGTGGGGAAAAAGGACGAGAAATAATATTAACGGGAACTTTCGATTGATGATGTTTTTATTATTAAATACTATTATTATTATGATGATGAACTATTATTACTATTACTACTTGATATCCTAAATATTAAAAAAAAATAATTAATTATTTTAAAGTGTGAAAAAAACGAAAAAAGTGATTGCGATAATGATAAAATAATAATAGTAATTAATATAATAATAATAGTACAAATAATAATAAATTATGTGATTGATGATAAGTGGAAAAGGAGAAGAGTGGAAGCGCAACTAAAGCTTAAGCAAAACGAAAACTTGTCAAATTCTTTTATTATTTCATAAGTTCAACGTCGTGCGTGTCGTTTCAAGAGTAATTTTTTTTGGGGATTTTTTATAGTATATATAAAAAATGATGTCGTTAAAAAAAAAAACGAAAAAAAGCTAAAAGTAAATACACGTATACAATAGGATTAGGATAATAGGATAAGAATAATAACAGAGGTGATAAAAAAAAGGTGTACCCAACAGGGAACTTGGGGCGAGTATGCAAATAAAGAAAAAACCAGAAGAGGGGATAAAAAAGTTTTTTCAATAAATAGAAGGTGTGTCTGACTGTCCGGTTTGTTCTTTTTGTACAGTAACGGTAATAATAACTATGTTTTAACGACGACGTTAGTTGTATACTATATAGATTGGTATATTTTGTGTGTCTCTGTGTGTGTGATATTGGAAAATTTTATGCAACACAAAACATCTTGTGTCGTGTATGCACGAAACTTGAATGATGCATTTTTGTTTTTTGTGTGTGAATAGAGAGAAAAAGGTCAAATCATGCTTCCGAGATATATTTAAGAAAGCAAGAACGAGCGAATCTCTCTCTCAAACCACGTACAAAAAACCAATAAATCTATCATGTTTTGATGTTTGTCTATTGAAGATTTGAAAGGAATTACAACCGCTGGTTATTGCATTATCGAGGGGATATTTGATGAGATACATCAATCAACTTTACTAATGTTATTATTTATTTGTTTATATTAAGAGGTTTATTTAATGCCATGTTTCTTTCTGTTTAAGACCCTGAGCGCAAACATAATAATTTTAATAACAATAAAAGAAATATAATTAATGGATAAATTAAAAATTGCACACGCAATGTTGATGCTCACACATGAAGCACCAATAACCCAATAACCCAAGAACCCAACAACTATTCCCCCAAAAAACACGTAGAAGATCCCCGAAGGCCTGTGCGACTTCTGTCAAATCATTTTGAAATTTCGTTACATTAGATGGGGCATCAAAAACAGCACGATATTTTACAGTAACATGAACATAAAAAGTGTTCAGGTGACTATTCTGCGATCTTACTATGTTTTGAACTGCTGCTCGATTTGGATAGTGGCTGTTTAATGATTGGTGCCCGCTCGACCTTTTTTTATGCGTGTGGCGGCATCATCACCAGCAAACTGCATAACCATAACCGATATGCATTTCATCGCTTCTGATAAGAGAAACAAGTCAGTATTGATTCTATCAACAAATAGTTGGTTATATGCATGCATGTACGTCGGTATATCCGAAAATATATCAAAGAAAAGGAGGAAGAACAAAAAAAAAAGGAAAAGCAATGATAGAGATCGATAGAATGATGGAATTAACGTAGCATATATACACACATAATCTTTTAATAATCTGTTTGATTTTGTCTAAGAATGTAAATTAACTATATATTTATTAGAAAATATCTATTTGCGTATATGTATGGGGGAAGGGAGAGCCCTGATTTAGTTAGTATTAGTATATATGGTGATGTCATCTCTAACCTAACCAAACGCAAGAACAATGAGTTATAAATTAATGAGAACAATAGGCGATTGTGATAATTTATTGGTGTGATATTTAATCATGATGATGCACGTATGCTTACAGATGATGATAATTTTAAATAATAACCGTGTTTTGATCAATTTTGTCATGTGTGGGAGTGTTCTTGTGCCACTTTACTTTTCATAAAACATGAGGAACGTTTAACCCGTTGTATTGTCATCAATCAATCGATTACATCAATTACAGAAAACGGAATCTTGTCAAGACACACATTTTTGTGATTAATAATAATCAAGCAACTTGTCAAAAAATTATGTGTTTATTACGAAATTAAATTATCTCCTTTTTCTTTTAATATAATATCAATCTAGAAATAAAATTGCATACATACAAAGCATGGCGAAAATCCGAAAAATCTCCTCGCCAACCAACCAAAAATTATTCCCTAAAAAACTGAAATTGAGATATTCAAATATATACTGTCATATTATTATTAAATATATGTGTGTGTGCAGTTGAATGATAATTGATAATTAACCG